TACACCAATTTAACACCCAATAGAGATCATTTTCTCCCACAAATACCACTACTCCAAGAAATAGCTCCCACTCTCTACCAAAAATGCTGCTTCACGCTCCTCAAGATCACACTTACCCCCCTCAAGATGGCATTTGGTCACAGAAATACCAGCTTCTGCCCCCCAAAGTAAAACATTTTCTCCTCAAAACAAGACATTTTCTGCCAGAAGTACCAGGACTCTTAGAAATACCTCACGTTTCATCCCAAGAATACTACTTGACGCTGCTCAAGATCACACTTACTCCCAGAAAAATGGCCTTTTCTCCCAGATAGACCAGGTTTCCCCCAAACAGACTACATTTTCTCCCACAAAGACCAGGTTTCTCCCACAGATGGCATACATTCCCTCAGAAATACCAGCTTATTCTTAAAAACACGGTCTTTTTTCCAAAAATACCAGCTTGCTCACAAACACCTGTCATTTTCCTACCAAGTCTGCTACTATCTCCCTGAAACAGCACTTTTCCGAGAAATACCTGACGTTTGCTCTCCCAAATACTACTTGACCCTCCTCCAGAGGACATTTTCTCCCCTATTTACCACCTTTTCTCCTCAAGAGTCCACTTGGCACACCAAAAAGACCACCGTTGCTCTCCAATACAAGACATTCTTTCCCATCCTTTCCTACTTTTCTCCCTAACCTTTGTCCTTTCCACCCAGAAACACCACTTTTCCCTTGGAAATTTCACCTTCTCTTCCAAAACAAGGATATTTGCTCCCAGAAATACCCCTTCTCTTGCAACTGCCACACTCTTTCTCCCAAAAATCCTCCATGGCAATACCAAATGGGCACTTGCAACCAAGAAGAGGACACTTTCTCCCAGAAATACCACTTCGATCCCAAAGTGATAACCTTTTCCCTCTCAAGCTTTTCTTTTCACACAAATACCTGGCATTTTTTCCCAGAAACTCCCGCTTTCTCACAGATACATGACCTTCTCCTCCCCACGTCTGTCTTTTTCTCCCAGAAATGCCACAACTCTTTGTAATATTTCCCATTTCCTCCCGAACATACAACATTACTCTCCTCAAGAGAACAGTTTCTTCCAGAAATGTGGCATTTTATCACAAATAGACCAATTTTACCCCCAATAGAGCTCATTTTCTCCCACAAATACCACTACTCCAAGAAACAGCTTCCATTCTCTACCAAAAATGCTGCTTGACGCTCCTCAAGATCACAGTCACTCCATCAAAATGGCCTTTTCTCCCAGATAGACCAGCTTTCTCTCAAATATAAGACATTTTCTCCCAAAAAAGACCAGGTTTCTCCCAAAGATGGCATACATTCCCGCAGAAATTCCTGCCTATTCTTCAAAATATTGCCACTTTTCCACAAATACCGTCTTTCTCACAGAAACCTGTCATTTTCCAACCAGGACTGCTACTATCTCCCTGAAGCAGCACGTGGCTAACAAATACCATTCTTTTACTTTCTAGAATGTGGCATTTTCATTCAGAAATACTGCATTGCTGTTGGAAATATGTTCTTTTTCTGGAATTTGATATTTTCTTCCCTAATTGGAATGTTTCATTCAAATGCTCTTTTTCTCTAGATACGCT